AGAAAGTGAAAAATCACCCCCCCAGGGGGGATGGCCACACTGCAATCCCTTCTCCTCTCAGGATCTTGGGCACACACACACACACGCACCTGGCATGAGTTTAAGCCACTGGGTCCAGGACTTGAACAACAATCGGCTACATGGAAGTTCAGCGACATAGCCTTTATGCTAACTGCTGGTCCCTGTTTGTTTTTTTTTTTTTTTTTTGCTATAGCACATGTGCACTTGGCAGAGACAGAAAGAAGGGGTTGAGGGAATGGTGACCCTGTACTCCTTTCTCCTTCAGTCTCCTCTCATCTCCTGCCTCAGGACGTTGGGCATGCACATACGCACGTCCACTGTGATTTTCAAGACACCAGGTTTGGGACACAAACTGCACCATCAGCCATATGGGATCCGGCACCTTAACCTCCACGCCACCTGCTGGTCCAGCACTGCCATTTCAACCAGTCAAAAGCCCTGAGTAACTGCCCAGTCCTGGGCTCTAGTGGCCCAGCTGCCTCTGCCACAGACCAAAGAACTCAACCCAAATGAGAACAGAGGATGGAGGCCAGGGTTGCATCGGGCCACGTGGCCACGTGGGCTGTACCTCTTCCCAAAGAGAGGATTCCAGCTGATTCAGCTTCTGCTCTTTCTGCCTTAGCAGGTCCTGGCCTTTCCGCATGGCCGACTTCATCTCATCCAGGTGCCTGGTCTCCTACAGTCAGGGAAGAAGAGAAGTGAGAACCACGCAGCCATGAAAGCTCCAGCTCTGCGCTTTGCCGGCTAGGTGATCCTGCCCAAATTTCTTCACCGTCAGTCTGGTTTCTTGTTTGAAAAAGAGAACTACTACTTTGCATGGAGTCATGAGAATTCAATGAGAGAGAGTCAGTAACATGCTTAACTCCAATGCCACACCTCGTAAGTCCTCAAATAGCTACTGTCCATGGCTACCACCACCACTGCACCAACATCGCTGCAGTGCAGTATCGCCACCAGCACCACTGCTGAGAAGGAAAAGCAAAGCAATGACAGGGCGTGGGGGTAGCACGCAGACATCCCTAGGAAGCCTGCCCCTTTGAACCAGACCCTTGTCCTCTGTGTCCCCGAAGCAGGCAGCAACACCCCTTCCCCAGTCCTCAGCACTGTCAAGATTCCAAAGGTCCAGGTGTGACCCAAAAAGCCTACACTGCCAGCATGCTCAACTGATTCAAAGAGCTGGGAGTCCCACCAAAAACAATGAAGATGCTGCCTTCTCACTGCACATCGGACCAGCAAAAATGCAAAAGAGAGAAGTCACTCGGAGTCTAATGCTCAGTGCGTAAAGAGACTTTCCCTTCCCGACTCAGCCGTGCGGCAAGTGGGAACATGAAGCTTTGCGGTGCTCAGGGCCCCGTGGAAGACCGGGCGGGTCCCCAGGCTGCCCCCGACACGCCAGCATGTGTGCACACTGTGACCCAGGCTGTCGGGGAAGGGTGCAGGGAAGGGAAGGGTCACAGCTCGAGACTGCCGAGGGTACCTGTCTCTCTCCCTCTAACAGAGAGAATGAGGAAGGAAGAGGGGAAGGAAGGGACAGAGAGAGAAATAGGAGAAAATCAGAGAAAGAGAAAGAAACTTACAATTGTTGTTTATGAACAAACCCTGTAGTGCGACAAACTGCAAAAGCAAAGCACTGGATTGGAAATTCTGTTTCTGTTTGTTTTTGCCCTAGGGTGTACATACTCACCAGAGAGAGAGAGGGAAAGTGAGAAGTCACCCCCCAGGGACACGGCCATGCCGCAATCTCCTCTCCCCCACTCTCCTCTCAGGACTTTGGGCACACATGTACACACGCCCAGTATGATTCTCAAGTGCCAGGTCTGGGACTCAAACCATGGTCAGCCATGTGGGAATTCAGCGCATCAACCACCATGCCAACTGCTGGCCCCCTAAATTAAAAATTAAAAAAATAATCTTTAAAACCTTTGCTGTGTTGGGATCAGCAGATGGCATAATGGCTATGTCGCTGGACTCCCATGTAGTCGACCATGGTTCGAGTCCTGGACCCGGTGGCTTAAACTTACGCCGGGCACGTGTACATGCGTGCCCAAGATCCCGAGAGGAGAATAGAAGAGAAGGGATTGTGGCGTGGCCATCCCCCCTGGGGGGTGATTTCTCACTTTCTGTCTTTCTCTCTTTCTGGCAAGCGCATGCGCCCTATAGCAAAAACCTCTCAAAAAAAAAAACCTTAGCTGTGCTTGGAACCTACAAGAGGGGAATGCTACCACCTGGCACACATATCTGGTTAACGTGAGGATCAAATGGCTTGCTATTGGAGAAGGCATCTGCGCACATGCAGCAAATGCCAGTGGCCACAGGGCCCAGGTGGCTACTGTCACGAAGTCCCCAAAATGACCAACCAAGGGAGAACTCAGAGGAGTGTCCTACTGGCTCTCCGGCCTCCCGGCTCAGGGCTGGCAGGCCGTCCCCAAGGCTCCTGACCTCCTCCAGGTTCTTATGAGCATCTTCCAGGGCCTTGGTGCCTGACGGGTCTTTGGCCGTCTCCTGAGCACTGGCCAGCTCATGGCGCCAGTGTTGCTGGGCAGCTTTCAGAGCCATCTGCCGCCTCCGCATGGAGCGTGTCTGACGTGCCAGGAATTCCTTGGCACTGCGGAGGGCGGCCCCCTCGGCAGAGACGAAATGCTGGATGCTGGGGGAGGACAGGCAGGGCCAGGGGTTAGAGAAGGGGCTCTCGGAGACCCCAGGACCTGCTCTGACACTGCCCCTCCCCCAGCAGACCCCGCCCTGAGGAGGACAGGAGCTGCCAGGCTGGGGCTGGGGCCGGGCAGTATATGGAGGGAAGCCCCAGTAAAGACCTCGCAGCCCCACCCTGACTCCAAGGCGGACCACTCCTGGGGCCTCCAGACAGAGGGTCAGACACCTCCAGCAGCCTGGTCTTCAGCAGATGTCAATACGCTGGGTCAAATGTCACAGGGGGCAGCTTCTCCACTTGCAGGAAAAGATCTTAGGGCCCCAGGCCTCCCTCCCTCCCTCCTTGATCGGTTCACCGCTCTGGAATACAGGACTCTCCACCCTGAAATAAGACAGCCACTGGGACTCACCTGTCCACAGACAAGTTGGCCTCCTCTTTGTCCTGGGAGAGAGAAGACATTTCTTTGGTTTGGTCCTTAGGGACATGTGGTAGAAGAGACCCACTGCATGCAGTCAGAGGAGACACCCTGCAGGCTCGAAAGGCCTGGGCAGACCCCCAGCTGCCTCCGGCAGCTGCCACGGAATGCAGTGGTACAGGCTCACGGACGGGCCATGTGTTGGTTGGTGGAGACCGTGGGAGGCAGGTGGAAGGTTCTACACTGTGCAGGACCTGCCTGCCCCTAGGCCCTACCCCCTGATGCCTCACCCCCCTCCCACGTGACCCCCCCTTCCTGATCCTTCCCACCCCCGGCCCCGGCCCCAGCCCCCATCTCACTGTCCCAAGGGATTTCCTAAGGTCCTCAATGTGGAGATCTGGCTCAGAACGTGGGGAAGCATGATCTTCCTCAACTGCCAGCTCTTTCAGGGCGTCCCGCTTCTCCTGAGCTTCGGCCTCCAGACTGCTGTGGTGGGAAAGGAGAGTGGGAGTGGGGATGTGAGGCCACTCACATGATGCAGCAGGCCAGGCAGCATGCTCTGAGCCATCTCCGTCCTCTCCTCCCATCAACATCCTGGAGGGGGACCAGCAGTTAGCATAACGGCTATGTTGCTGGGCTCCCATGTAGTCAACCGCAGTTTGAGTCCCGGACCCGGTGGCTTAAACTCACGCCGAGCGTGTTTGCATGCATGCTCAAGATCCCGAGAGGAGAATGGAGGAGAAGGGATTGAGGAGTGGCCATTCCCCTGGGGGCGGGGGGGGGGGGATTTCTT